GGTTTGATTGAATATCAACAAGCATTACACCTTAACTAGCTACATATGCTCACAACTTTTCAAATTAAAAAAATTAAAAGCTACAAAATTACCTGTTCTAAAATTGACAGATAGAGTTCCCACAAATCGACGCATTGAGTAAGTGAGTTGCCAGAGGGTCAACAGAGATGCAATTCCGTCTTTGAAGCTATACAATCGTCTATGAAGAAACGGGAGAAAGAGAAGAGTTAGGGCCTTTTAGGTGATATAAAACGTGGGAAAGAGACGTGCCTCTTATTTTAATTTTTTTTCCTTTTTTAGTCAAATTTGGTCAGTAATATTTTAAAATAAGAGACGTCAAATTTGGGCAATAATATTTTAAAATAAGAGACAAGGTCTCTTATTTTAAAATATTATTAACCAAATTTGACTAAAAAAAGGAGACCTCAGAAGGTTTCTAAAATTTATTTTTTATTTTCACAAATAGCGACCTTGTGAGGTTAGGCAAAGTAGTAGCCAAAATAAATTTTAAAATAAGCGATGTATGTATGTATATATATATATATATATAATCGACCTCATGAGGTCTCTTATTTTTTTTAAAAAAAAATTATAGATGCAAATAGTGACCTCATGAGGTCTCTTTTTAGCGATCTACTTTTGAGGTCTCGATTTTTAGGTCTCTTTTATCAGTTTTTTTAGTAGTGAGCTAACATATAGCTCCTCAAAATTAGGTATCAAAATTTCATGTTTGGTACAAAATATAGATACCTTAGCAATAAGAGAATTTCATTCATCATCCCTTAAAACTTGCAACCTTCTCTTTGCTACTTCAACAAGTAGCATGGCGTTTGCAACATCTTGCTCATTTTTTTTATAAGCATTTATTGAGCACATTTGTGATTGTTAATACATCTCTCATCAAATGCAACATGAACGCAACCTCAAATGTTCGATAAGATTCAAGAAGTCCCGTTGCCTTGGCTCTTTCATCTATACTTCGTGCATCAAGAGCAAGTAATTCAAGAACTTCAAGAATAGAGCCAAACATAAGAATTAAATTGTTAAAGGATTTACAATGAGATCTCCAACGAGTATCACAAGCTCTCGAAAGATCAAGTTGTTGATTCAAGCCCCTAACGATTGTAAGTTCGCCCATCTCTAATGCCTCTTGAATTATTGCTTTTTGAGAATCTCGTAAATCATCCATACGCTTAAAAGAAGATCTCAATACATTAAAAATACTTGAGACCATTACCACATGTTTTCCCACTTCAAAACATTTTTTTTGAGATTCCAGCAAGAGTTAGTTAAAGTTGATGAGCAAAATAATAGATGGAATGAGCCGGTCTAATTTCTTGCCTAATCAACATCTTAAGGCCATGGACCTCACCTTGCATATTGTTTACCTTATCGTAATATTGTCCACGCACACTTGACAGACTCAAAGAATGTTGAGCAAATAAATTAACAATTACCACCTTTAGGGATAATGCACTGGTATCTTGAACATGAATAATGTCAATTAGTCGCTCCATCACAAATTTCATTCTATCAATATACTGTAATACAATAGTCATTTGCTCCTTGCGTGAAATGTCAAAAGATTCATCAACTAGTAAAGTAAAATGGTCACCATTTAGTTCCTCAATAATAACTTTAACTGTTTCTATCTTACATGCATTTACGATATCTTTTTGAATCATTAGAGAAGTCATTTGATCATTTTGAGGGGCATGTTCAAGTACATAATCACAAATTTTATCACAGCTTTTGCATATCATGAGAGAATCTGAAGAAAATTATTCTTGCTAAGTGATGATTTAGATTTGTCATAATCGAAATGTGAATCCTTGAGTTATGAAAAATCTTACTACATCAACAAAAACACTTAAATGAATATAATAATCATGCTTAATTTGATTAGATTGTCTCTCAAATGCAGATTGAATAGATTGATGTTGTCATAGTAAATCTTGACATTTCTTTTTTGACCAATTATGTGAGCTATTCGGTAGACCAATATGCTTGTCAAGACCACTATTTTTATTCCAACTCTCAAATCATGCACATGGAAACACTTCACCTCCACCTTGATTAATGTTAATTATGGTCTTTAAATATATATCAATACAAACAATAGACTGCATCTTTACTAACATTATACTCCAACCAATCATGATATACACCATCAAACATATCATGATTAAACATGTGCATTTATCAAGAAATATTTGTTTGAGGATACTCATGCATCTCCAAGCGAGGTTGACAAGACCCATTCACAAGGTATGCTCTTCTAATAATATCACGATGATTTGGATGATAATTCAATATTAGGGTTCTTTCACTGGGATCAAATTTTAAAGAACTCAAGTCAAATTCTTGAGAAGAATTTGATGATACTTCTGAACGATTGACATTTCTTTCTTGGTTAGATTGACTATGATTATAAGAGGCTAAATTTGATTTCGATACTTGGATAAAATACTTCTTCATTGAATATTAAGACTGAAACCTAAAGTAAGAACTTAGTTAGAATTTAAAAGAATATAAACACACAATAAAACTATTACCAAAAAAGTTTAAGCAGTGGTTATTTGATTAGATTTATCTATCTCTCCAATTTTAGATTAAGAAATATATATAAAATGTCAAATAAAATAATTGAAACTTCAATCATAGGGCTGAACAAAGTCAAAACTTTCCTATGAAAAAATAAAAAAGTGAAGAGGTATAAATGCTCAAATAAATTAGCCAAATAAGAGAAAGCACATAAAGAAATAACGAAATAAATTAAAGTATATAGAAATCTAGTAAAAAAAAGAACCAAAAACTTATCGAGATAGCTATTAATGGAGATGGGAGAGATGATTGTCTTCCTTCCCAACAGCAGCAGCAAGTGGCAGCAACAACAGCAGGCCAGCAGCAACAGAAGAAAGAGACCGATGAAAAAAAGTGGAAAGATCCTAAAAGAAGAAAGATTTTTTTTAATATTCGACTTTGTAATTAGATATTAAACTAATAAATCCCAAATTTCCATGTTTTATGGTTCCATTATTTTTTTAAAAATAATTTAAAATGCCTAAAACTAATTCTCACATTTTCTGGTTCCTTCATTAAATGAAAAATTAAAACGCCTAAAACTAAGCTGATAAAAATACTATTAGCAGACTCGAACGCGCACACTTAAAGCACAAACCTGAACACCCTCCGCCACTGAGCTACGCCTTTGGTATATGTTCAGGGGGTATTAAATATATACACATAAACTAAAATTTGAATATATATAATCTTTCAATGAGCGGGGTAGATCTGCCCCTGCAAATTAGTAATGGAGAGTTATATTTTTTTCCAAGTGTTTGGTTCATTATTTCCCACCACATTTTGTGTTTGGATTAAAACTCTATAAAAAGCTTCTTCTCAATTATACCCTTGAATTATGGTGAGATTTTCTATTTCATGTAGATGGGTCAAGGTATATAATTGCCGGACAATATTATTTCTTATGACCTTCTAAATAGCTAGGAAAAAAGTAATTTTGTTACCATGTTTGCTTCTCACTTGAATTATTTGATGGTAAATAGTTGTCGTCTAATAAATTGATCACTCACAAAACGTTAATTTTCAATTTAAAAAAGATAGACCGTCTACTTTTAAAATTAAAAAGACAGTAAACAATAGTAAAATTGAATAAACCATCATGCAATTTATAATTTTTTCAAAATATAAATGATTAAAAACCCACATATATATCAACAAATAATACAATCAACTAAGATCACAAACGTAATGTGCTGGTATATTTGACTTTTCAATTAGTAAATGTTAAACAACTCATATTTCAAATACTCTATTGAATTGTATGAATAATTTAGCAACAAACAACTTTCTCTAAATAATAAAATTTGTAAGCTAATATATTTAATTAAATTTACTAGTAAAAATATAAAACATAAAATCAAGAAAATTAAAAAATTAAAAGGATATGAGGAATATTTTTGTCTTTACACAAATTAATCTCATGGTATTAAATCCTATGTATTACTAATACCACCAAATGAAAGGTAATAGTTATACATCCTATTATACCATGTAGGATGTATAACTAATCTATGAATTAGTTATACATAAGCTCAAAATTTCTACCAAACATAGTATTAAATAATACCATACATAATACATAAACTATTTTTTCTAATACTCCCTACCAAACGACCCCTAAAAGAGATACAGTTGTTTTTAGCAATTTGACTATTTTAAATGTGAATTTTTTATTGGACTATGGAAATTGCAAACTATTTATTTGTGTCTTACATTTGCATAAGAATCCCCTCAACTTTCAGAACCTCCTAACATTCATGTTAGATTTTTATTACTCATCTAACCTCAACTTACATTAGCATTTTAATTGTTAAACACCTAAAATTCTGATCTATTGAAATTTTACCTTATGAGCTACTATTATTATAAAATTCACATTTGTTGGAATCTATTCTACCAACAGTGTTACTAAATGGACACTTAATTTTCCAATTTTCTAATATACTTAACATGAATTTCAATATTTCAAAAAAAAAAAAACTAATTAGTTTAGAAATAATTTAGATTCTGGAGGATAATGGAAATAATGTGCAATCTACAGTAAAAATTTGAGCCATAATTTATTAAAATAATGTTCAGTTTTCATATAATACATTGAATTTAAGAAAAAGAAGTGGGAAAATAGATAATATAAATATTGAGGGTTTCTAGTGAAATAACCTTGCTTTCAAAGATAATGTTTCCTATAATGTTTGACCATTTTTTTGTTTGGCCAAAAACACTATAGTGTTTCAAACTTAAATTCATCTTCTTGCACCTTCGAATGTGTCCATTCACTTAACTAACTTTATTTACGTATGAAATTAATTAGTTCCAATAAAATGTAGAAACAAACAAAATCGTATACTATCGCAACACAATCAGCCAACATTTTAACTTTATCGTATTATTCAAGAATAATAGTGAAGTGATATGAATTTTATTTTTTGGTAATTAAGATATTATATTAATAATTAATATGCATCATTACATAGTAGTTACAGATTTCCTTATCGGCTATCATAAGTGACTAATAAGTTCCTTTACAAGCAAGGAAAATTCTTTAGCTTTCAAAGGATCTACAACCTCGGACCCGTGATATGCTCCTTGAGTGAAACTACCCTCTACTTGAACGCCCAATTCTTTCAACACCCTTACTAAGTCAACTTGGCGGTCAATTAAAGGATCGCCATCACATCCAGTCACCAACATCTTCCACCCTAATAATTTTACTTGATCAAATAGGTTCGGGTTTGATTCAATCCCCACCATTGGATTTGAATACTCATGATCGCGATCAGCACCTTCAGGCAATCCTAGGTCCCACATGATATCACTTATAATAGGGGGTAACATGTTGTCATTAACCAATCTTACTTCTGATTGTGTCCTCTCAATCCCACCAAAGAAAGGTTGATTCAATATCAACCCCTTGATTTCCAAAGGCTTGAGGTTGTCCCAACTCTCCGCGGCGCGTAGGCCCACGTGATACACCACGTTGCCTCCGGCACTCGTGCCCATTAGAAAGCATTTGGAGAAATCAGCATGGTTGGATAACAACTCGTCGGGTTTGGTCTTGATCCAATGTAATGCCTCCATGCAATCGTCGTATGCTGCTGGAAGTCGATGCTCGGGGGCTTGACGATACTCAATTGACACAACAACTGCTGGAATTTCACTAGCAATGGACGCGTACAGCCCTTGGAAGATGGGGGTATCTACAGTTGCCACTATGAATCCTCCCCCGTGAAAATAGATCACGAGAGGAAGTTTAGGAGTATTGGTGGTGGAATGGAGAAGTTCACGAGGGAGGATAATACGTGCCCATGTGTTCTTTGATGAGTTAATGGAAATATCTTTGGTGAAGACTAGATGGGAAAGATCATTGGATGTGTCTACCGGGACAAGAGGTTCCTGTAGACGTGTGATGGAACCATCAGAATTACGAACCATGCCTAAACAGCCATAGGGATCAACATTAGGATCAATTGGCATAGTTTCACTGTTTTGATCAGACATGGTTGTAATAGTAGTAGTGTTTAGAGATGAAGATTGTGAATGTTATGAGCAATTCTTGAAATAAAGAGAAGCGTATATATGGTTGGCAAGTCAACACTTTGGTTTTCGTTAAGAAGATATATTTAAGTCCAAAGTGCCTATCAATTTCAAAGATGACAGCTTGACCAATTTAATTAAATATTTCCAATCCTTTTAGACTTTTTTCATAATTCAAATTTTTTAACTAGGTGTTGACACTTTTTCATAGTTCAAAATAAGTGAACTTTTTAAAGTTTAAGAGAATTGTTGAAACCTTTCTTCATATTTATTCTTGTTTCAAAAATCTTTCGTTATTTCTTAAAATTTTTGCCAAATCAAACTAGGTCATATAAAGTGGAACGAAGAAAATAATAAAAATACCTTTTAATTTTTGTGGTGAATATTTTCTGACGTATCATATCTAATCATTCACTTAATATATGGACCATAGGGAGTATTAAAAGTATCTATATTCGTGCAACCAACTTCTAAGATGACAGCTATTACTAAGAAGGAGTCAAAATAGTATTGTGGACCATGAAAAAGAATTGTGGCTGCCATGCTTGAAACTTACAAATTCATGACATAATCGACTGCATCAGCATTTCATCCATGAAAGAAAATATTCTCATGATATGGACATTTGGTACACAATATTGCCCTTATTTTCCTCCCTTCTCGAATTTACTTGAAAGAAAACCAAACTGATTATGTCATTATTGCTAGAGAGGCAAAAGATATTCTAAAAAATAGTTTTCTCTATACATTAATGATACAGTAGAAAACACATATTTATGGCTATACAATTGTAGGGTTAGAGTTCTATTCTAGGAAGGAGTATATGGTTATAAATGTATATTCTGTAAATCAGTCATATTCTGAGAAAGAATATATTTTCTCATTACTATACAATTATAGTTTTTCCTAACATCCCTCTCAAATTGATATCGGTAGTCACAAAGTAGCAATTTGGAGATAAGATACTGATGTTGTGCTCGTGTCATCGCCTTTGTAAACAAATCAGCAAGTTGATCATGAGAAGAAATGTGTTGTAGAGTGATGAAACGATTGATAACCAATTCTCGAATGTCATGACAGTCCACCTCTATATGCTTTGTGTTTTCGTGTTGCATCGGGTTTGTTGCTATTTTAATCGCACTAGTGTTATCAACATGTAGCACTGTAGGAGATGTAATAGTGACACTGAGCTCAGATAATAGCCGTCGTAGCCAAACAATTTCCGAACTTGCTGTCGACATAGCACAATACTCAGCCTCTGTAAATGATTTAGATGTACGTGATTGTTTCTTACATTTCCAAGATATCAAGGACGTGCCAAGAAACATGCACCAACCAGTAACAGAGTGACGAGAATTAGGACAACCGGCCCAATCTGCATTAGTATATCCTTTAAGATGTATAGAATAATCAGAATGGAAAAGAACACCTTGACTCATAGAACCACGAACATATCGAATGAAACGAAGTAATGCAGTGTGATGTATACGGTAAGGATTAACCACAAACTGACTTAGAACTTGTACTACATATGAGATGTCTGGCCTTGTCATAGTGAGATAAACTATTGATCCCACCAACTGCCGATACAATGTTGGACCATTGAATCGTTCTCCATCAACCTCCTTGTACTTTGTATTAATCTCCATTGGGGTGTACACAACCTTTTCATCGGTAAGACCAGCCCTTGCAACAAGATCACGAGCATACTTTTGTTGTGTAAGCATGATCCCAGTAGACAAGTATAGAACCTCCCAAGAAAGTATGTTAATCGTCTCAAGTCCTTCATCTTAAATGAGGTATACAAGAATTCTTTCAACTTAGTCATATTCACTAGATCATTTCTTGTGATAATGATATCATCAACATAGATGAGAAGTATTGTGATACCTACCGGAGAAGTACGAAGAACCAAAGAATGATCTGAAGAACTCTGAGAGAAGTCCGCAGTTTGAATCGTGGATCGAAATTTGTCAAACCAAGCTTAGGGAGCCTATTTTAAGACATAAAGAGATTTTTGAAGACGACAAACTGCATTTGGTCTTTCTAGAACACACCCAGGTAGTGGTTTCATAAACACCAATTTTTCCAGATCGCCATGGAGAAATGCATTTTTCACATCCATCTGATGTAAGGTCTAGCCTTTTATTGAAGCCACAACCAATAATGAATGTACCATTGTCATCTTAGCAACTGGTGTAAAAGTCTCCTCATAATCCACCCCATACTCCTGTTTGTACCCTTGAGCAACTAATCATGCTTTGTAGCGATCAATTGTACCATCTGCCTTAAGTTTAATGGAATACACCCACTTACTTCCAATGAGAACTCCAGCTATTGGTTTATCAACAAATTCCCAAGTAGAATTTTCATTCAATGCATGAAGCTCTTCTGACATTGCCTCTTTCCAACAAGTTTGTGTAGAAGCCTGAGAGTAAGATGTAGGTACATCAACAAAATGTAGTATGGTATGCATGGCATAAGACTTACCAAATTTCCCTATAGATAAATCGAGCCGTTTAGGAGTATGACGATCTATCCGACTAGATCGGCGTGGGGGAGTAACTGGATGAGACGATTGCTCTTTGGAAGATGAGGATGCATATGTAGAGTCAATAACAAAAGAATAGGACGGTTGGAGATCATCATAATCATAGTTCATGGGATGCTCCGGAGGATCAGTAGCTACCACATCATCATCATACTTGTACAAAAAGGAAATAGATTCTGAAGCATGTTTAGAATTGTGTTTGTAAGAAAATTGACCCTAAAAAAAATAACATGTCTAGATACACGGAGCTGGCGACGAGATGCATCATAACATAGATATCCCTTTTGTGTGTCATTGTAGCCCACAATAATACATTGTGTTGACTTAGCTAAAAGCTTTTGTCGTTCATGTGCTGGAAGATGGACAAAGCAAACACAACCAAAAACTCGCAAGTGAAAATAATCAGGCTTCTTATGAAATAATTTGAAGTACAGTGTCTCATTCGCAATGACTGTGGAAGTTTGTCTATTAATCAATTATACAAAAGTATATACTTCTTCAGGCCAGAAACTCTTAGGCATATTAGATGTGCCCAACAAAGGCAATGTAGTTTCCAAAACATGCCGATTCTTCCTTTCTACGAGTCAATTTTGTTCCGGAGTATGAGAACAAGTGTGTTAAGAAATAATTCTTCTGTTTTTGAAAAACTCAATAAGATTAGTCTTAATGTACTCTCCTCCAGAATCATAACGAAATATTTTTATAGTTTTATGAAACTGTGTATACACATACTCAACAAAATTCATAATAAAAGTCGGAACCTCAGATTTATTTCGAATAAAAAACACCCAAGTGTATCTAGATACATGATCAATAAATAACACAAAGTACTTATATCCCATCCTTGACAAAGTAGGAGAAGGACCCCAAACATCACTATGCACCAAATCAAACAGATCGTCATAAGAAGATGAACTGGATGGAAAAGGGAACTTGTGACTTTTCGAACCGGAACAATTAGAACATGTCAAAGGGAGACTGGAATAAATGCCATGTGTTGATGGAAGGCATGATTCGAGCATGTGTTGAAGTCGAGAGGAATAAGGATGACCCATCCTATTATGCCAAAGAGTGAGAAACTTATTCGAGCGAGTAACATCCGCGGCATAACTGAAAGAAAATAATGATGCAAATGATGATGAACCGACTCTAGAAGAAACATTCTTCCAACTCTACGCCCCTTGGCCACGGTCATCCCGATTTTCAGATTCTGAACAACACAATTATTAGGTGAGAATTTTACAACACAATTCTGATCAACTAGCTGACCCACCGAAACCAAATTAGCCTTCAAATTAGGTACATAAAAAACGTTAGACAAATTTTCAACAAAACCAATACCCGAAGTGGGCAATGTATGCCCGTTTACCGTATGAATAACATGTTTAGAAACATCATCATACAATGAAGAAAATTGGGACAGATCTCCGTTCATATGATTAGAAACACCCGAATCTAGATGCCAAGTAGATTTAATAGAATTACTTGTACCTGAGGATGCCGAGATTTCACTTGAGATGGCTCCGGGAAGGGCAGTTGCTATAGAATCTCAAATCAGCCTTTCAAGATCATGTCCAGAAGGGAAGGAACCAGCCGATTTAGTGACATCCGTCTGGTATGATTGGTGAGCAGGCCGTGAACAATTTGGATGACGACGACAGTCCGAAATATGATGGCCAGTAATCTTACAGTAAGCACAATTTTTCTTCTTCTTAGGACAATTGGCTGCTATTTGACCAAATTCATTGCATTCATAGCACTAGACACTTCTCTTAGTATTTCTTGATGATGTACCGATAGTTGATTTTTGTGCAAGTAATGCAACAATGGGTAATGACAGGTGTGACTTCTCTGTTCAACAAACTGCCACGAATCGACTCGAATTCAGGACGGAGTTTCATCAAGAACTGTACCATCCTTGTCCTTTTTCGTTCTCCCAACACTTCCTTGAGCCCTACCGTAGACATATTTTGCCTAGAAATTTGATTATGTTCTGACCAGAGCAGCTACAAGCCAGTATAAAAGGAACGAACATTCTTGTCCCCCCGTGTATATTCAACAATGTTGCGTTCCACTTCAAACTCTCGTGCTAGATTGCTTTGTTGGGAGACGTTACGCAGGTGGAGCCACATCTCTGAAGCTAAACTAAATGGTCTAATTGTCATAGCGATGTCAGCATGTACCGAATTCAGCATTCAAGCGATTACCTTCGCATTATTTAAATTCCATCGATCCAACTCTTTTTCATCTGTTGGCAGACCAGTAGAACCATCTAGCAACCCAAAAAGGCCCTTTCCTTGAACAAAAATTTCAAAGTGGAATTCCCATAGAGAAAAATTGGAACCATCCAATTTTGTGGAGATAAAATTGTGCGAGGATGATTGTGAATTCATTGAGTAGACGAAATACTACAGAGAAAGAGAAAAAAAAA